TAGCCAAAAGTAATGAAGATTTCAGTGGTTTGAAAAGATTAGTCTGGACTTGGAGGTGGACAGTGCAAGAAAAAAGAGATTTAGCTACAATTAGTGAAAGGAAGGATGGAGGGGAAAATGTGAAGTTAAAGCCATTTTTAAAAAATGGCTTTAACTTTTCATTCTACCTCCATTCTTTTCAGCCCATTTATTGATATATAAAAGTTCCTTCTAAGTCCCACTTGACTAATTTTGTCAGTCTTCCATTATGAAAAAAAAAAATCACATAAGAATTACAAAACCAAAATCACTGCCCTTTCACCATCAGTGAACAATATTTGAATAAATATTTTCAAAGTAGCTCAATCCTCTGAAAGCCTGAAGTTTCGGATCCAGTGGTGGGCTGCAAATTTTTTAACAACCGGTTCTCTGACTGGATAGGCATGGTCATGTGAATGGGTGGGTGATGTCACTCATCACACTAAGCCCTGCCTCCTGACCACTGTTCAAAGGAACAGCTGGTTCAGCTGGTTTTATGTCTATGTTTATGCAAAGGTTTCAGTTGGTTTATGCCCGTTTATGCAATCAAGGATTGTATTGGCTGGGTAATATTTAAGTAATTGTCCACTAGGACTCCAAGGTTCTTCTCACAGTTACTGTTTTCGAACTAGGTTTCACCTAATCTGCACTTGTACCTTTTGGGTTTTTGGTTCAATTTCATTTTCTTGGATAGGGCCCATTCCTCATGTTTGTCAAGATCTTTTTGGATTCTGAACTTGTCTTCTCGAGTATTGGCTATTCCTGACAGCTTAGTGTCATCTGCAAATTTGATGAGTTCCCCTTCTATTCCCTCATCTAGATATTGAAGAGTACAGGGCCTAAAACAGAACCACTAATTTAGTCACTTTGTCAAAGAATAAAATGATTGTTTTGGCACAATCTTTTCAACAAACCCATGCTGGTTTTCTGTGATTTGCGAGTATCCCAGAGCCAGTCCTCCTGACCTCTATCAATCTATTTGTCAGGAGAAACTGAAAGTTGCTGAATATGATCCCTGTACTGGGTAGACAGTATATAGTTTGGGAATGATTGCTGTCCTCTTAAGGGAATGCCTCATGGGAGATGTAGTTAATGCCTCATGGGAGATGTAGTTCAGGTCATGTGGTCACATCTGTAATCCCAATTGGTCACTGAATTGGCCTCTGGTTGGGTTGGGGGAGTTTTGTTCATTCTTACTTTTGTTCATTCTCCTTGGTCCTCACAGGGTTGCTCAGCCCTTTTATTCACAGGTCTCTCTGTCTGGGTAGAAGAGCTTTTCCCCTTATGAGGCCGAAAAACTTCACCTCCTGTACACTGAACTCAGCGGTGGTGTCTACCAAAAGGAGAGTGCGTCGTCCTCTGAAGGGAAAGAAAGTCTTATTCCTGAAAACCACATAAAAAACCCCCTTTTAATATATTTCAGAAGATCCCTGTTCGGGCGCCATTTCTCAGAAAAATCAAAAAGACGGCCAGGAACAAATTCAGAGCTGTTTATTAAACTTTTGCAAAAGTGGAATCCCAATGTCAAGATATATTGAAAATCAAGTTTCCAATCTTACAAGATTTTTATACAATTTCCTAAGGTCTAACATCTGTTTCTGTTATCATATTCTGCAATCTCATTTGTCAGAGGTGGGTTATGAATCTGTTTCCAGGAAAGTTTGTCCTACATGGTTTCCCCCTTTAATTCCAGTAATAACACTGGGCATACCCCATATCATTTGACATCTTTCACTAAACATTGGGTGACTGTTGTAATGTCGAGGCAGTCGAGTTGTTTGATTATGCACAACTCAATTATGATGATCTTTACTGGAGTATAGTTTTGCATTTATATACATTTTTAGTTATCCTCCATCATTGGTTAACTTTGGTTACTGCTTAACTTTTGTTACTGTTTAGTACAGTAATCCATACAATTAATTATCTCTAGTTAAAGTCTAACATATGTCTACTTCCCCTCTCTAATCCTCTTTTATCCATAGATTAGTGATTTTGTTTGCCTGAGTTGTATTTGCTTGGAAACATTCTTTATCTGAGGTTTGCCATCCGAGATTGGAACATTCCTGCAATTGCAACTCTACATATCCTCGTTTTTTATTTTAAATGGAGGATTCAAAGATTTATAAATGTATCACTACTGAAGAGGGTTAAGAGAGGGGGAAGCGGGACGAAACAATGCAAATAAATTTGGAATACATTGCATAAAACAACAGGCTGCAATTAATACAATAATAATTATAGCATAAAAGAAAAACTGTCTGAGCCAAGACCAATCAGGGAGTCAATTGGTTAGCCACTCAAAAGGTGAATAATGAGCATATTATTTTGAATGTATGATTGTAAATTGGCAAGCTCATCCTCAATAGTTCTATTCAAAGAATGAAAATGCACAGCACATCCACGGCATCCAACTAATGTACAGAACCCTCCCTATTTCCTACTACGAATCACAAATAATAGCAGCGGTAGCATTGATGGATTTTTCAAGTCTGCAGGTGAGATCAAGAATAGATCATCTGTTTTCTTGAGCAATTATGCCAGGATAAGAGCCTAAAATAAGGACTCCTGTAACGGCCCCTGCCAATGCATGGCCAAATGTAGAACCAGAAGGCAATTGTGTGTCAATAATGACTTCATCATTACATGTAGGCCCCAGAGAGGAATGCCACTGTCGAGTTGATGGGAGCGTACCTATTTGAACAGGTAGAGTAAAATAATATAGTTGCACATTGGTAATTCTGAGGATGAACATTAGTAGCATATTTATCAAAAAAGAACCACATATTAGGATCCTTAAGCTGCCAACCAGCGCTTATCGATCCTGTATTAGATTGATCAGAGGCATTAAAAATAGGAAAATTATCAGGATACATATCAGGAGCTATATTAATTCCATGCAAAGAAGAATTAAAGGTACCTGACAACCAATAGTAGTCAGAACAATAACTATAATTCCCTAGCTTTTATAATATGTGCTGAGCAGCATCATAATCAGATCAATTATGAAGCCAAGTGTGCTTAGTGTGACAACAGAAACACAGACCCCTTGTAAATTGACTAACTTTCAAGTAACGCCAACGGACAGAATTCAATTGCATAGGGGGCATAGAAAATAGCTAGGAGTGTGAAATAGATTGTAGTTGTGAGACAATAAATGTAGAAGACATGATCAAGTTAGGGGTAAAAGAAATTTGACCAAGTGCCATTGGGGGCTCATAGTATAAAGTAATATTTGTGCCATGGGTCATAAACATGTATTGGGCATGACGAACCCACAAATTAGGGTTAAGATGAACCACAGAAGTGTCATTTTGAGCAGAAACACCATTAACCATAAACAAGAAAATACAAAGTAAAATGGTAACAAAGTTAGTAGTAATAGCAAAAACAGCAGCAACAAGATTTTCAGGAGTCTGAGGTAATGAGGCCTGTTGCAGTTGTTACTGAGCTTGATATGTAGTAGATTTAACCTGGCCCCAAGTGATGGTTGCGGGCGCGTTGACCTTGGAAGACGGACTTACGTGTTCAGATGAAGATTGAAATCCAGAATCGGGTTGTGAAGGCCTTTCCAGGTTGGATCTGGAGCTTGGCGATACTTTACCAAAGGCCTTGCTAAAGATTCAGTAGTTCGAAAATGCAAATTAACAGGTGAGTCTGCAAGAGAATCTAAAAAGGTTAAATAATTCCAAGTATATAATACTACAGCAATGAGATTTTGAATCTTTCGCAGATGGTAAGGGCCAGACTCAGTTTGTAATTGTTTCTGAAGCAATGCCTTAAAAGTACGATGAGCTCGCTCAGCTATAGCTTGACCCTGAGAGTTGTAAGGAATTCCGTGCACTAAAGTAATATTCCATTTCTGACAAAAGGTTTGAAATTCCTTACTAATATAAGTGGGGCAATTGTCAGTTTTAAACTGAGAAGGCCGACCCAATACAGCAAAAGAGGATAGGCAATGAGAAATAACATCTGAAGTACGTTCATGTCTTGAAGCAGTAACCCAAAGGAAGTGTGAATGAGTGTCAATAGACTTATGAAGATAACAGTATGGCTTAAAGGTTGAAAATTGAGTTACAACCATTTGCTAAATTTGATTAGCTTGGGTTCCTCGTGGGTTGACACCCACTGGAAAGGGAACTGCCAGTTGCGGACAAGCACGGACAAGCACGGGCTTGAGATAATGAAATTTTAAATTGCTTTGCAAGCGATTTGGCATTTTGATGAAAATAAGAATGACTAGCAACAGGATCAGCAAACAAAGACGCAACATCCTTTAAGGATTCATCTGCCTTCCGATTTTCTTCAGTCAAGGCATTAGTAAAGGGAGTATGACTTCGAATGTGTTCTACATACAAAGAATACAAGCGAGTTTCCAAACTATTCTTTAAAGATAAAAACAAGGATAACAAATTCTTATCCAAAGAGAGAGCACAATAAGGAAAGAGAAGAGATTGCATAGCTAAATACACATATTGAGTATCAACAATCAAGTTAATAGGTTGGTCATTGAACAAACGTAAAGCCAAAATCACAGCAGCCCGCTCAGCATGTAGAGCTGAAGTCTGCGTGGCAGTAAATTTAGAATACCATTGTTGTTGAATCTGCCAGACAACCACACCCCTTGTAGGTGATCCATCAGTAAAGACT